TGGAAGAAAGACATCATGCCTTCATGGAAAAGAAGAGGTTTACATGGAAGAATGGAAGACCTTCAATGAAATGGATTGACACAGTGACTGCAACAACGGGCTCGAGTGTGGAAGAGATTGTGAGGATGGTGCAGGAAAGAATGAAGTTGCTGTCTGTTGTTCATGAGATCACTGTAAGCCTTAGTCAACTTTATAGTACCTATCAATAACAGGAGTTACAATTAATGGGGTGAGAGGGGGCTTTGTGTCTCATTCTCTAAAGTGCAGCATTTCTAGGAATTTTACTTTATTTTTTGAACAGATTTTGACCAAAAGATCAAAGTATACCTCTCTTGTTCAATACCACTACTCTTTTAGTTCTACTGACATTCTCCCCCCCCCCCTTTTTAAAGATTTCACTTCTTTCTTCTGCTCACTGTGGATTTCCCACAAGGTTCTTTGTACTTTTCTTTCTTTAGCATTTAAGAACTATTACACTTTCTAATCTTAAGCTTCTAAATTGATGATTTGGGATTCTCAAATATTACTCCATTGCAAATTATGGAATCACTTTCGAGAACACAGTTTTGGGTCTTTTCCTTCCATCAGGACTAACTCCTGAAGCTAATAAATGGTGGGTGCCTTCATTTTAATTCCTCATGGCCATGTGGTGAGACTTATAAGATCCCTGAGTCCAGAGGCTCAGAGGGTGTCTTCTCATGCAAAGGAAAGGATTTTGTGTTCTCCTGTGAGAACGTGGATTCTTTCCTCTAGAACGCCTCTGAGATATCACTCTATGAGTTCCTTCTTTTGTGTCCTATAATAAAGATATCATCAAGAGGTAATGTTCTCATTGAGCTCTCAGAGTAATTTTGGCAAATTATTGGACCTAAAGGAGCAGAAGGAGCTGGTTGTTCTGAAGTGGAGGGAATCATGTGGACTCCAGGCTTTGTAGTTACTACCTGATGACCTATAACCCTAAGTGGCTGGGAAATCTGCATGGACAGCTGGGATCTGAACTGAACAGGAAAAGAAAGCTGAGATTTACATAGAATCCACTTGACATATGAGGTGGAATTTGTTACCCACCAGACAATTTTGTATCAGAGGTGAGTGATCTTAGTCTCCCTTGACTGATTGGTACAACTGATAAGTGAGTAGTGTTGAAAGTAGTATAAGTTTGTATCTGTCAACTCCTTTTTCCTCCTCCAGCCTTCATAATCTGTGAACTTGGAGAAACGATAAAAGTTATACAAGTGTTCAGGTCTTTTGTTCATAGGGTCACTATGAGTTGTTTACGACTCGACAGCACTTAACAACAACAACCTTCATCTGTAAACCCTGACCACTTTCTATTAAAAAAGAAATAAAAATAAACTAGAAATTGATTACCTTTGATGTTTCTTTCTTATGACCCTAGTCTGTTTTGAGGAGCTCTAGGGGCTTACTGGTAAGAACTTGCACTGCCAACCCAAAAGCACATGGCTTTGAATCTACCAGCTGGTCCAGGGGAGAAATATGGGCAGTTTCCAGCTCAACTATTTGCTTCTTGGTCAACTATGAGTTGGTTCCAACTCAAAAGTATATAATAACAACATCTGTCTACGTTCCCACCCTTCAAACCATTGAGATCTGCAAACTAGTGTATTAGTTTTTTTTTAATTTTTATTTTTTTACTTTATTGTAGCTAATGTTAGATGGATCTTGGCTGAAAGCAGGGAGTACCAGAGGAATGTCTATCTTTGCTTCATTGATTATACAAAGGCATTTGTGTGGACCATAACAAACTGTGGCTGACTCTGAGAAGAATGGGAATCCCAGAACACTTGATCGTGCTAATGCAAAACTTATACTTGAACCAAGAGGCAGTCATCAGAACAGAGCAAGGAAACACTGCATGGTTCAAAATTGGGAAGGGCGTACACCAAGGATGTGTCCTGTCTCCATACCTTTTCAACCTGTATGCAGAACAGATCATCTGGGAGGTTGGGCTCTATGAGGAGAAATGCGGCATCAGGTTTGGTGGAAGATCTATCAACAATCTGCAGATGACACAACCCTGCTTGCTGAAACTGAGGACGACCTGAAGCGCTTGCTGCTGAGGGTCAAGGACTACAACCTTCAATATGGATTGAGGCTCAATGTCAAGAAGACAAAGATTCTCACCACTGGACCAGTTGGCAGCATCAGGATGGATAGTGAAGAGATTGAGATTGTTCACAGCTTTAGTCAGCTTGCCTCCAAAATCAACACTCTTGGCACCAGCAGCCAGGAAATTAAAAGACGTATTGCAACTTGATGGCACATAACAACAACTATTGCGATGGGAAAGTCTGTTGTTAGGGACCTCTCTAAAGTACTGAAAAGCAATGGTGTGTCTCTGGAGACTAAGGTGCATCTGGTACAGGCCATGGTCTTTGTAATCACTTTTTATGTGTCAGAGAGCTGGACAGTGACCAGGGTGGATAAAAGGAGAATTTATGCTTTTGAGCTTTGGTGTTGGAGAAGATTGCTGAGGATACCATGGACTGCTAAGAAAACAAACAGATTCATCTTGGAGAGGATTAAACCGGGCTGCTCCTTGGAGGCAAGGATTCTGAGGCTCCGTCTGACATACTTTGGACATGTTGTAAGAAGAGACCGGTCCTTGGAGAAGGACATCATGCTTGGGAGGGTGGAGTACAGGTGCGGAGGGGAAGGCCCTCTGGGAGATGGATTGATTCGGTGACTGGAGCAATCGGGATGAGTGTGTCGGAGACAGTGAGATTGGCACAGGGCAGAGCATAGTTTAAAGCTGTTGTACATAGGGTCTCTGTGAATTGCAAGCAACTCGATTGCACATAACAACAGCAGCTTTTTAAATTATACTAGTTTATTTACAAAATATGAACTAATTTTTAAGTACTCTTGCTACTTTATCCATTCTGAATAATAGATATAAAACTCTATTAATCGTGAAAATGTGCTCGCCTATCTTAAGCTTTTTAACCTATAACAATTATATTATTGTTAATGTTTTGTAAAGTAAAAATATTTCAAGGATTAAATTCATTGTGTTTTATTAACATTCATTACATATATTGTTTATTTTTCAGTTCATTAGGCTATTCTAATAATGTTGTTTTTGTGTGCTTTTGAGTCACCTGTGACTCATAGCAACCCTATGTACAACAGCCCTAAACCCTGCCCTATCCTGTGCCAACCTCAGTGTCTCTGACACTCCTACCCACATTACCCCAGTGACTGAATCAATCCTTCTCATTTAGGGTCTTCCTCTCCTGCACTGTCCCTCCACAATCCCAAGCATGACATCTTTCCCCAAGGACTGGTCCCTCCTTGCAACGTGTCCAAAGTATGTCTAACGAAGCCTCAGAATCCTTGCCTCTAAGGAGCAGCCTGATTTAACCCTCTCCAGGATGAACCTGTTCATTTTCTTAGCAGTCCCTGGTATAGTCAATACTCTTCTCCAACACCACACCTCAAAGACATCAATTCTCCTTCTTTCCTCTCTAGTCATTGTCTAACTCTCTGATGCATAGCAAGTGATTGCAAAGACTGTGGCCTGTATTGGGTGCACTTTAGTCTCCAGAGTGACACCATTGCTCCTCAGTACTTTGGAGAGGTCCCTAACAGCAGACTTTACCAGTGCAATACATCTTTTAATTTCTTGGCTGCTGGTGCTAACAGTGTTGATTGTGGAGCCAAGCAAACTAAAGCTGTTAATAATCTTGATCTCTTCACCATCTATCATGATGCTGCCAGTTGGCTCAGTGGTGAGAATCTTTGTTTTCTTGATGTTGAGCTTCAATCCATATTGAAGGCTGTAGTCCTTGACCGTCTGCAACAAGTTCCTCAGGTCCTCAGTTTCAGCAAGCAGGGTTGTATCATCTGCATAATGCAGATTGTTGATGACTCTTCACCAATCGTAATGCACATTCATCTTCATACAGTCCAACCTCTCAGATAATCTGTTCTGCATATATGTTGAAAAGGTATAGAGATAGGACACATCCCTGGCGTACGCCCTTCCCAATTTTGAACCATGCAATGTTTCCTTGCTCCATTCTGACAACTGCCTCCTGGTCCAAGTATAGGTTTCACATTACATATCTAAAATCCGCTGCTGGAAAATCTATTTCCAACTCATAGAGACTTTCCATTGGGTTTCTTAGTTTGTAAGTCTTTATAGGAGGAGACTACCCATCTTTTACAAAGCAGCTAATAGATTCAACCTGCTGTCTTTCATTTTAGCACTCTGACATGTTCTGCTTTATACCACCAGAGCTCTTTGATATATATATATATATATATGCATGCTGTTGTTATGGGCTGTCAGTTGACTGTCTCAAATAGACACTATGGACAGCAGATCTGAACCTGTCATGCTCCAATCCACTGTGTCATTCCTTCTGATTGTGGGTCTTTCTTTCTCTGACCCTCTGCCTTTTCAGTGTAATGTCTTTTTCCAAGGCCTGGCCCTTCCTGACAACATACCTGTAAAGTATCAGAGTTTCACCATCCTTACTTCTAATGAGCACCTGGGTTGTTCTAAAGGCTCTGAGAATTGATGAACTACTTGGACGTGCTCACTATGCTAGGAAATTTGGAAGAAAGCTGCTGGCCAACTGACTGGAAAAGTTCTGTATTCTCATTCCAATACATGTATGTTGTTATCTATGTTTAACTATACATGTAAAAGGATTAGGTGCATTTTTTACTTTATTAAATGGTCAACCTCAGGTAGTACTACTATTTTTTTTTAACCTTTACCTGATATTATCATCTAAAAGTGAAGTTATATAACTTCTTTTGGATCACACTAGTAATGTATTAACTAGATCTGGATTGCAGTGCAGCTTAGTAGGCCACCAGAGCTCCAAAATCCCAGATTTTCTGATTCCTAGTTGACATTTCTAAGTCTATTGGTAATTTGATGTGTTATTTTATTGTTTGTTGGGAGTTTTTTAAGTGTTGATTATATAATATATACATAGTGACTGAAAAATATATTTTCTTTTTACAGATAAAGACCAACCAGCAAAAGCTATAATCCTTAAGATAAATTACTGTCTCCAGCTAAAGGAAAACCAAGATCCATGAGTGGGCATCGCTCAACAAGGAAACGATGTGGGGATTCTCACACAGAGTCCCCCGTGGGCTTTGGGCATATGAGTACTACAGGATGTGTATTAAATAAATTGTTTCAGTTACCTACACCTCCGTTGTCAAGACACCAACTAAAGCGGCTAGAAGAACACAGATATCAGAGTGCCGGACGATCCCTACTTGAACCCTTAATGCAAGGATATTGGGAATGGCTAGTTGGTAGAGTTCCCTCCTGGATTGCCCCAAATCTCATCACCATCATCGGACTGTCAATAAATATCTGTACAACAGTTTTATTAGTCTTCTACTGCCCTACAGCTACAGAACAGGTAAGAATTAGTATCTAAATGCATGTTAGCATTTGTTAGGTATAAGAGCAGTTTAGTTGGGATTGTGGATCATTTTAGCTAAAGGGAACATGATATGACATCTTTTTGAAAATCTCATGTATACTGTTGCTAAGAAGTAAAGGGTAAACTCTCATCCTAATAGATAAATAAATACCAGGGATTAGCTGTTGCCTTTAAAAGAGAAGGGGCAGACGGAAATCAGTATTCTTTAAAAGAGTTTATCTTTTTTTTTTTTTTTTGTAACATCCAAATCCTTCACTCAGTTATTGCTGTTGAGTTGGAACCGATTTATAACTGACCTTACAGTGGGTTTCAGAGGCCATAAATCACATAGGAGATTTCCCATCTGTCTTCTGAGAAGCAGCTAGTGAATTCTGACCACTTGCCTTTGGGTTGGCAATACAAATGCTCTCTCCCCAGGCCACCAGAGCTCCCTGGTACTTGACAAAGTTTAACATGAGAAAAATCTTTGGTATTTGAAGTAGCTATAAAAGACTTTTCTCAAAAGTGTTTTTCTCTTCATCCCATTGAGAATGATTGAATATCTGTTTTCTCTTGTTGTGAACATGTGGTTGATAAACAAACAAAAAAATTTAGTCTATTGCTGACAAGTTGATTCCAGCTCATTTTTACCCTCTACAATAGTGGAACTTAGGCTTTTCAAGGCTGCAAATCTTTATGGAAGTAGACTGGTATGACCTTAGCTGTATCTCTGTTATTCTAACAAAGCAAAGGAGATACAGGATAAAAGTCTATAATACATTTCCTATTCCACTTCGTGCTCTGACTTAATTAAGAAAACTTGATTTTAATTATGGCCTTTCTCTCTATGAACTTTCTCAAATTCGAACCTGTGTGCGGCTATAACCAAATCTGTAAACTAGAATCAGACTAATTGCTGTTTGCTGTTGAGTAGATGTTAACTCATGACAGCCCCGTATGTTTTAGAGTGAAACTATGTTTTCCATGAGTTTTCTGCCATTTGGAAATAGATCACCAGGCCTTTCTTCTAGGGTATCTCTGGGTAGATTTAATCTACTAGCATTTAGGTTTAATAGCCAAGGATTTCATAATTTCCACCATACAGGAGTCCTGTTACTTTCTCTGTCCATTATTTAAAACAAAACCCAAAAATGGAGCCCTTGATCAAAAGGGTAATTTGATGTTTATTTCTTTGGTCTTAAGATTTCCTTTAAAAATATAAGTATTAGGTACATTTTTTTTATGTTTATTAATCATAATGGTCAACAACCTCAGGTATCCAAGACTCAAGAAGGTGACCCTCAACTAAAGGGATTGAAAGTAACGCTGAACCATATGGAATCATAATGGGCACATGTTAGCTTGATATAATTTAATTTATGTTACATAATTACATCTAACTTGTTTCTGTCCAACCCAGTCAGCTAACTCACTTTTTTCCTCTACTCAAGAACATTCAGAATCTAAGTCTTTATCCCATTGTCTTTAATGTATCTCTGTCCTAGAGGTCTTCTTACTTTGGTGATTCTTCAGTTGCCCATTGCTATTCCATTCTTCATTTTCACAGTCAGTTCTGGAGTAGCCCAGGATATGCAAATGAGTCCATGAAAGGCAGAGCTCCATCTTGACCTAGAAGCATATGATTTCTCATTTGAGATAAAATAAGTACCATCTAGCACTCTATGGTGCCACATCTACATCTTATCGGTTTGGCAGACTATAATGATTTGCATTTTTCTTTGATTCTCAAAGTTATACCACCAGTATTTCAAATACTAGGACCTGAAGCACTTGCTGCAGAGGGTCAAGGACTGCAGCCTCCAGTATGGATTGAGGCTCAATGTCAAGACAAAGATTCTCACCACTGGACCAATTGGCAGCATCAGGATGAATGGTGAAGAGATTGAAATTGTTCACAGCTTTAGTTTGCTTGGCTCCACAGTCAACACTCTTGGCACCAGTAGCCAGGAAATTAAAAGGCGTATTGCCATGGGAAAATCTGCTATTAGGGACCTCTCCAAAGTACTGAAGAGCAATGGTGTCTCTCTGGAGACTAAAGTGCATCTGATACAGGCCATGGTCTTTGCAGTTACTTTTTATGCATTAGAGAGTTGGACAGTGACCAAGGAGGATAGAAGGAAAATTTATGCCTTTGAGCTGTGGTGCTGGAGCAGAGTATTAAGGGTACCATGGACTGCTAGGAAAACAAACAGATTCGTCTTGGAAAGGGTTCAACCAGGTGGCTCCTTGGAGGCAAGGATTCTGAGGCTCTGTCTAACAGACTTTGGACATGTTGTAAGGAGAGACCAGTCCTTGGAGAAGGACATCATGCTTGAGAGGGTGGAGGGCTGGCACAGGAGGGGAAGGCCCTCTATGAGGTGGATTGATTCAGTGACTGGGGTAATCAGGATGGGAGTGTCAGAGACATTGTGATTGGCACAGGACAGAGCAGAATTTAGGGCTATTGTACATAGGGTCGTTATGAGTTGCAAGCAACTTGATGGCATGTAACAACAACAACAGGAGAGTGATGCACGGTGGACAAATTTCAGGTTTCAGCAGAGCCTTCAGACTAAGACAGATTATTATTCGGTGCCATCGAGTCTGCAACCCTGTGAACAATATATCTGAACCTTGCCTTATTTTGTGCCATTGTCATCATCTCTGATACACTTGAGCCCCAGTCACAGTGACAATACACCTTTCTGAGGGTCTTCCTCTCATTTATTGACTATCTTTCCGAACCTTATCTCCTTTTCAAGGACTGTTAGTTTCAAGGGCATGTTGTTGTTAGCAACATGCCATATGTATATAAGATGAAGCTTCATCATTCTCTTCTCTAAAGAGCACCCTGGTTGCAGATTGCCCAAGACACACTTTTTTCCTCTTTTGGCAGTCTATGGGATAATCAGTGTTCTTCTCCAGTACCACAGTTCAGTGGCATTGATTGTTCTTCTGTTACCCTAATTCATTGTCCAACTTTCATATGCAAAGCAAGTCATTGAAAAGACCATGGCTTGAATCAGTTTCACCATAGTTTTTAACCTGACATCATTGCTCATTACAACTTCAGATGGGTCCTTGACAGCACATTTTCGCAATGTAGCATGTCTTTTCTCCATCAGTCATGATGTCCATTGGCCCAGTGGTAAGGATATTTACCCCTTGATGTCATGATGTCCATTGGCCCAGTAGTAAGGATATTTACCCCTTGATGTCATGATGTCCATTGGCCCAGTGGTAAGGATATTTACCCCTTGATGTCATGATGTCCATTGGCCCAGTGGTAAGGATATTTACCCCTTGATGTTGAAATATAATTTCTATTGAACACTTTAGTCTTTGATCTTCTACAGCAACTGTTTCAAGTCCTTTTCACTTTAAGCAAGCAAGGTTGTGTCATCTTCATAACATAGTTTGTTGATGAATTTTCCTCTGATCCTGGTGCCACATTCTTCTTCATAGAGTCCAGCTTTTCCAATAATGTGCTCATTATTCAAATTGAATAGGCATGGAGAAGGAGTATACAGCCCTGATACACTTTTTTCTTGATTTTAAACCATGAAATATTCCCCTGCTGTGTTTGCACACTAGGGCTAGGTTTCTCATGAGCACAATCTGTGTTTTGATATTTTCATTCTTCACAGTGTTAGCCATAATATGTATAAGCTACACAATGCCTTTGCATAGTCAGTAAAATAAGGGCATTCCTGTAGTATTCTCTGCTTTCAACCAAGATTCATTAGTAGTAATATCCCTGATACAACGCCTCTTCTAAATCCAGGCTTAACTTCTGGTGGTTCTTGGTTGATATATTGTTCTAAGTGTTTTCTGAAATAATTTTCAACAAGATTTTATTTGCGTGTGATACTAAGGTTATTGTTCAATAATTTCCACATTCCATTGGATCACCTTTCTTGGGAATGGGAACAAATGTGGATCTCTTCCAGTCAGTTGGCCAAGTAACTGCCTTCTGAATTTCTTTATGTAGACTAGGGAGGATATTCAGGACTACTTCTGCCCACTGCAATCTTTCCTATAGTGACTCTGTATATTCCTTCCATCTTTTTTTAATGCTTCCTGCATCATTCAAGATTTTGCCCATAGCATCCTCCAGTATTGCAACTTGAGACTTGAATTTGTTTTTTGGTTCTTTCAGTTTGAGAAATGCCCAGCAAGTTCTTCCCCATTTTCTAACTCCAGCTTTTTGCACATTTCGTTATAATACTTTCCTTTGTCTTCTTGAGCTTCTTTTTGTTCTGTTCATCTCTTACTTTGGTATTTCTTCATTTTGACTTCTTAGTGCTCTAGTGATATTTTCAGTGTTTCTGACATCCATTTTAGTCTTCTTTTTTTCTCTCTTTGTAACGATCTTTTTCTAATAAGATAGTTTTTTCATTATTGACTGACATTTTCCCCCTGCCCTCTCTCCTTCAGCCCACCCTGCAATATTTAGATTGTTGTCATAAATATATGTTGTTGTTATGTGCCATCAAGTCGCTTGTGACTCATAGCGACCCTATGTACAACAGCTCTAAACTTGGCTCTGTCCTGTACCAATTGCACTGTCTCGAATAAACCCATTCCGATTACCTCAGTCACTGAATCAATCCACCTCATACAGGGCCTTCCTCTCCTGCGCTGTCCCTCCACCCTACCAAGCTTGATGTCCCTCTCCAAGGACGGGTCCCTCCTTATAACATGTCCAAAGTATATCAGACGAAGCCCCAGAATCCTTGCCTCCAGGGAGTCACCCAGCTTAACCCTTTCCAGGATGAATCTGTTTGTTTTCCTAGCAGTGCATGGTATCCTTAATACTCCGCTCCAGCACCACAGCTCAAAGGAATCAATTAATTCTCCTTCTATCCTCCTTAGTCACTGTCCAACTCTCTGATGCATAACAAGTGATAGCAAAGACCGTGGCCTGTATCAGACACACCTTAGTCTCCAGAGAGACGCCATTGCTCTTCAGTACTTTGGAGAGGTCCCTAACAGCAGACTTTCCCATTGAAATACTTCTTTTCATTTCCTGGCTACTGGTGCCGAGAGTGTTGATTGTGGAGCCAAGCAAACTAAAGCTGTGAACAATCTCAATCTCTTCACCATCCATCCATATAAATATATATATATATATATATATATATATATATATATATATGTAAATGACCTTTTGCTTTCTTCATGGATGATATCCTAAATGTCATCCCACACTCAATCTTATCATTAGTATTCAATGCCTCAAACCTATTTTTAGGGTTTTTTAAATTTATGTGGAGTAGACTCATGGTCATATTTTTGGTACTTGTACACAAGATAGATTAGGAAGAAGAGTATGTTGATCTACTTCTAAAACAATTAGCCAGTGAAAACCTTAAGAATGTGGGGGGACATCATATAATATAATGCCAGAAAATGGGCCCCTTAGATTGGGAAGCTCCCAGAATTTAACTGCGAAAGACCTTTAAATGAAGCAAATGGACCAATCTTTTAGGACTTTGATTTGCTGATAAGCCTACCACCCACTGAAGAGTTGGTAGGGGATTGGGTGTGAAGGACCAGGAAGGAGATGTGACATTTTCAGCTTTGTGGATACCACTACCTCCTGGTTTTCTGTGCTACAGAGAGAGCAATTCAAAATGGACTTGCTGTGCTATTTATGGTTTCGTTTACTGTTGTGAAGAATGCGTCATCACGATTGGAGGAAGACTCATCAACAATGTACATTATGCTGCAGATGACATAACTGTGTTTGCAGAAAGTAAAGAAGACTTAAAGCACTTACTCAATGGCACATAACAACAACAAGAAGAAGCCTTTTCTCTGAACTGGTTTGAATTACTGGAGTAGCCTAGAATTAATCAAACTGGAAAGACTTCTCAAATGGGAACTAGCCTGATCACAGATAAAACTTTTAAAAAATATTGTTGGGGAAAAATCAAGATGAGATGATTGTGCTGATAGTTGGTGTTCTCTGCTGGACAATAGTATCTAACAAAGGATACACCTGGATTTGTTTATAACCGCATAGTAAAAGTCCTTGTCAGGCTCAAAATATGCATCAAAATAGGTCATGGCTCTCTTCCATGATATATTATTTTTAACTCTGGTATCTTGAGTAAGTCTTACAGATTCCTTAAGTCACACTTTAATTCTCTTTTTAAGTCTTATTTTGTGTTGTTACAAGCATTAAATTACAATTATCTTGTGTGTTTTGTAGTATACTCTATGACTGACTTCTAAAACCAGTGATTATTTGGAATTGTCTTATTGCTTGCTATATATTGCCTACAGTTAAGTTGCATAATACAGTTAAGAATAGTACATACACAGAGAATTGACAGAAGTTCAAGCTAGATTTAAAAGGGTCATGGTACCGGGGTATCGTTGCTGATGTCAGATGGATCCAGGCTGCAAATAAAGAATACCAGAAGAATGTCTGTTTGTGCTTTGTTGACAATGCAAAGGTATTTGACTCTGTAGGTCATAATAAATGATGGCTAACTTTGAGAAAATTGCGAATACCACAACACATAATTGTTTTCATGTGAAACCTATACCTAGACCAAGAGGCTGTTGCGCAAACAAAGCAAGGGAATACTGCATGGTTTACAATTCGGAAAAGTGTGTGTATCAGGTTGTATCCTTTTCTCCATACCTGTTCAATATGTATCCTACAAATTATTCGAGAATCTGGACTCTGAAGAAGAATGTGGCATCAGGATTGGAGGAAGATTCATCAGTAACTTTTGTTACAAAGATAATACAACCTCACTTGCTGAAAGTGAAGAGGACTTGAGGCGTTTGTTTCAGAAGATCAAAGATCATAGCTTTTAGTATGGATTGCATCTCAATGTTAAGAAAACAGTAATTCTTACCACTGGCTTTATAGGCAATATAAATATAGATAATAAATTTAGAAGAGATTGAAACTGTCAATGACTTCATCTTGCTTGGATCCACAATCCGTATACTTGGTATTAGCATTCAGATCAGGAGACATATTGCACTGAGAAAGTCTGCAGTCTAGGATTTCTCCAAATTATTGAGGAGCAACAGTGTTAGTTTGAGGACTAAGGTGCACCTTATTCAGTCACTTTCTGTGCATCTGAGAACTGGACAGTGAATAAGGATGACAGAATAATAATTGAAGCCTTTAAACTGTGGTGTTAGAGAATAATACTAAATATCCCATGGACTTCCAAAAGAAAAAAAACAGATCGGTTTTGAAAAATGTGCAGCCAGAGTGATCCTTGGAAGCAAAGATGATTAAATTTCATCTCACATACTTTGGACATGTTGCTAAGAAAGGCAGGGACATCATTGGAGAAGGGACATCATGCTTGGGAAGGTGGAAGGACGGCAAAAGAGAAGGAAGACCACGACCAGGAGGATTGACACAGGGAGAGCAGCACTGAGCTCAAGTATGTCAGAGATTGTAAGGATAGGACAGTGTTCAGATCTATTGTTGTTCATAGGGTCACTGTGAGCCATGCTTAACTTGATGACACCTAACAACAGCAGCAATAGTTAAGTTGACATTGCCAAGTAAGACCAAAAAAGAAGTTATTATTGGCTTTAAATGGATGATTTAAGTATAACTTTTTGGAATATGATCTTAGGAATTAATTCTTGTCTTATAGGTCATTTCATTTTTTACTTACATTTCAGATCTTAATGCTCTTGATTTAACTCTCTAAAAATAACTTGAGTTTATTTTAATATAGACAAAATGAAAAGTACATGGCAAATTATTGGCCCATAATTTTACTATCCAGTTAAACCTTACTGATACTAAAAAGAAAAGGGGGAAAATAATGGAAAAATTCCAAGGATGATAAACAAAAAGTATGAGCTTCCTCATTTTTTGCTTGTGAACCTATCCATCTTACCCTCAATCATTTTCCCTAATTGTAACAAAGTTTAACAGGTTTTTGTATTTCAGGAAATAGCATATGATAGGCTTCCCACCCAAGCTGATTGTAAACAAGATCAGATACAGTTAATCAGCTTACACTTGATTGCTCAAACGATTTAGAAACATCCACATAGCCCAGTAATGAATACTGTGGTGTGAGAGGACAGTAACATTGACTATGATGGCTATAGTTATGAATATGTGTCATCTTGACGGCCATGATTCTCAGCCATTTGGCAGTTGTATAATGATACAGTCTGGCAGTAATGTAATGATGTTATTTTCCGCTTGTGATCCTCTGTTTTGTCATCTTTCATTTTTAATGCTCTTGCATAAAATCTGGTCCTTGGAATATAATTATGTCAATATGTAATGACTAAGTGTATGGTGCTAGATAGAACAAGGACAAATTATGAAGCAGAACTCAAAGTCTTATTTTTTAATAAAAAAAAACCCACAGGACAATAGAGAACAATAAGTTAATGAATTCCCTGAAACTGTTGACTTGTGACACACTAAACCTAGAACTGAGTCTGTCTCCTGAAATCACTCTTTAGTGAAACGGCAGAGTAGCACACAGAGTTGATACTCGTAATAAGATTGGGGCTCTACTTAGAAGCTAATCAGTTTACCTTTTGGTCAAAAGGTAAACAGTTACTCAGATGCAAAGATGAGGAGATAAGGTGGCAGGGAAACTAGCGTACTGGAAATGGAATCCACAAAGCATATTTTATGATTGTTGAAACGCTGATGTCATTGAACAATTTTGAATTAAGTGGGAACGTGACTTTCACCAAAACCCCAGTAAAATAAAATCTATACAATGCTCAAATAAATTAGGGAAATGAAAGTGTATTTTGTCTTCCTTTTTGGAAAATCACAATAGATATTAGCAGTTTTAAGGAATGGAAGAAGTCCTTTAATACAGAAATCTGTTTAACTCATTGTTTTGCACATGAACTTTGCATGAATTTCTTTTTCTTTTCCTTTACGATACTTATTAATGTCCTGAAATGAATAAGAAATACTGTACTCAAACTATAAATGGAGGAATCCTATAGCTATTTCTTAATCTAATCTCTAGCTTCTACACTCACAAGGCAGAGAATTTAATTCTCTTTTAAGCAGTCTTTGAATCTTCTCTTGCATATCTTTTAGCCGTTGTACTTTTCTAGAGTATAGAAAATACTTGCAGGTAAAAATAGGTTAACTAAATGTGATCGCTAATGTCCTTCATAATTTTGTCTGATCATAATCTTTTCTGATATTTCACAGGCACCTTTGTGGGCATATATTGCTTGTGCATGTGGCCTTTTCATTTACCAGTCTTTGGACGCTATAGATGGGAAACAAGCCAGAAGAACCAATAGTAGCTCTCCTTTGGGAGAACTTTTTGATCATGGTTGTGATTCACTATCAACAGGTACTATTGATTTTTTTTTTTATTAATGATTATTAAATGATGAAAGAAATTGATATAATAATTAAAATAAATAATGAAGTTTGTGGTGTTATAATAGTTATGAGAATAAGTAGCTTTGTATTGAATGTCAGCGCTTGTTAAAACCTGTTTAGCTTTTGTTCGTTATTGAAAGAATTTAGGAATTTAGTTCATATCTGTTTACGTTATCTTTAATACTAAATGCCTTTTTGCCATCTTTATGTTTTCAAAATCTTAAACACAATAGTAGGAGACTAGTTATTTGTAATCTTAAGACTTCAGTGACTGTTGTAAGCATTTTAAATTATGTTATAAAGACAGTACAACTGTAATGTACTTGGATCAAAAAGACTTTAAAAACTACACAGAAGTGCTGGCAATATGTTTTGATGCTAGTGGTATGTTTTTACCTGCACTATTGGCAAGGTTTTAAAAGAACATATTTATATGTTTTAGAGGAAAAAGATCGAGAAACTAAATGATGCTATCTAATTAGCCTTTCTGACCAGAATTTTCTCCATTATATTTATAAACAGGAGCAGTACTCCTTGATAGTTTTACCTCCTAAACTCAGGTTTGAAGATGTAGGTGATGTTAAAATTATTCTCAATATCCAGGTGGCAGTTTCATATAGTAAAGAGATGTAACTAAGTGTTCATTCAAATGAAGAAAAACAACACTACCACTGAGTAAAGGCTAAGTTTGGTATCTTGAAAGTCTGTCATCATTTTATTAGATGAATGTAGAGTAACAGATAACCCTACTTTTTATTTCAAGAAACAGTAGTATTTGTACTGTAGTTTGAGTTTGAAAAGTTTATAGGAGGTCTTGTCACTCAGAATGTCCAAGTGGGTTTGCAAGAGAAAGATGGGCATTCTCTTTCTGTGTTATTTACAGTCTCAGGGTTGTTTCTGACTCAGTGGCAATGGGTTATTTTTTGTATTTTTTAGTTTGTTTGGGGTTTTTTTGGGTTCTGCTTGTGTGTGTGTGTGTGTGTGTGTGTGTGTGTGTGTGTGTGTGTTTTAAAAAAATAAATTAGAACTGAGATGATAACCTAGGGAAGGAGTAGGCCCTTTTGTGGATTATCTGTACCCTTTTTCTTTCTTCTGGCTTTCTGTCTTAGAACATTTTTGTTGCTCATATTACCACTGAGGAACTACAAAACAGCCCCAACGAGCTAAAGTATTTTAGTTTTTTTTCAAGACCTTCAATTCCACTAAGTGGTTTAGTGAAACGAAAGATGAAAATTACCAGGTAAAAAGATAATGCTAGGATTATATCTAATTTTCTGTTGCTGTAGATATTAGAGTAGATTGTACATTCATGGCACAATTCTTTGCCTCATCTAAAATCATGTCTAGCTCAGCAAAGGTTTGCTGTTCAGGTTGTTTAGTTTCATTGTGATTTTATGTCGTTTTTCCCCCAACACCCCCCCCCCCCAACAGTTTTTGTGGTTCTTGGAACTTGCATTGCGGTACAACTGGGCACAAACCCTGATTGGATGTTTTTTTGCTGTTTTGCTGGGACATTCATGTTCTATTGTGCACACTGGCAAACATATGTCTCTGGAACTTTGCGATTTGGAATGTAAGTAACAATAATGTCTTTGTTTTCTCATTTTAATATGAAAAATGTTGATAATAGATATTTGAATACTTGTTGGATTGTTGAATAACTAAATTACTTTAGGAAATTAATTATTATTGAACTCATTATTATAGCTATTGCATAATAATCATTGCTATATGTCCCTCTATCATACTTTTTCAAAGGAAATAGCAGGGCTTTCAACTAATAATTTTAAGGCAGTTCATAAAGGATCCCCCTTCTCATCTCCATTAGTCTCTCATGGTGAAATCCTCTTTTCCCCCCTGGGTAGTTTACCCTAATACCATGTTTTATTTTGACATACAAAAATGCATTTTTAGGAAAAATATTTTCCAAGAGCAAAGGGCAACTCTCCTCTTTAACATACATGGTTAATAGTAGATTTTATTCTTTCACATTATTTGTTTAATCTAAAAAAATACTTTTTAAACCCTTGATAATTTTGTGGCATGAGTACAGCATTAGTTTATAGCTAATTAAATGAAATGCACTTTTTTTGAATGAGAATCAGAATTTTTCCATAAATATTCACAGATAACATAGGCTTGGTTTAAAGTAAAAGGATGTTGGCCAATATTTAATTCACTATTACAGATCCTATTTATATAACTCAAGTTCTTTTTTTTTTCTTTTCTTTTTGTAATGGTATAGACTTAAAAGAGGAAAGGACTTGAGAAAACACTGTGTCCCATATAATGTTAAAATGGAATTTTCTGCTGGCAGATAATAGGGGAACATCTTAACCTACTCTCCAAAGAAGAGTAATCATTAATTTATAAATTTTAAATTGCTGGTAAACTTAGTTTTCTAGTTCTTGAACAAGCAGAATGCATAGAAATTGAGCTGTTCACTCTTAAGTTCAGATCAGCTGACTTTAGCTGAACTTAATAGAATTTAAAATGTTCAGCAGTAGATGAATTAAGAGAATATTTCAAAGTAAGAATTTGAGGAATATGTTTAAGGCACATCTCAATGTGATATGCTTATTAAAAATTATAGTAAGAGTATCCACTTAAAAACTGATACTCTGCGTATACCAGTGTGTATATATCAGTAGTTTATAAAATTGTGCATGCTCAGAAAATACTAAAAATTTCTAATCTCCACACCAAAAAACCCAATAACTAAAAGTATATGCAGATTTTTTTTCTCAGTATATCATAACTTTTTTATGGTCTTTCTCTAATTAAAACCACAAAAGTAATAGACTTCTAAGGATAGACTTCTAAGATCACTTGGTCCTCCCTAACTCAGTTTTATTTTTGGTTGTTGTGTACCATAGAGTCAGAACCAACCCATAGCTGACCATTTAGAGGGTTTTCAGGAGCAGTTAATGGCACAGGAGGAGATTACCCATCCCTCTCCCACGGAGCTGCTGGTGGCCTCAAAATGCATGCCTTTGGAATTGCAGCACAGTTTCTTGCCACTAGGCCACCAGAGTGCCCTTCAGTTTTAATTTTTGATATTATTTTCAAAAATAGTAGAATTTATAGTGTCTGAATTTCACTTAGTTTACTTGATCTTACCAGTTAAAATTCAAGTTCTTATTTTGAAAGCCTATTCATCATCCAGCCTTAATTCATTCTCTTTTCCTTCCAAGTAAAGCAGCACCAGGTCATATGCATAGGAACTTAAGGAGGAAAGAGGATGAAACTGTGGAAATAGAGAAATAGAAAATAGTCTTTGGAGGAAGGATGTGAATTCAAAGCTTCCTATTTGCCAGTCTTAGAATTGTCCTTATGATACAGTTTGGCAACATTATGGAGAGTGAATTGAAGTGACCTGTGCCTGAAGCAGGAAGACCTAATAGGAAGCATCACTATAATTAAAATGAGTGATGGATCTGGTGGCTAGTGGTAAGAAGCTGTGCTGCAGTATCAAAGGTGTGTGTTTCTTACTATATGATGTTGAATCAATTTGGGACATCGAATTTAGTCAATTTAGGATAGAATACAACAGCCCCATAGCATTTCCTAGGCTAAATCTTTGCAGAAGCAGATTGCTAGCTATTTTCCTCTTGAGCTGCTGGAGGATTTGAAGCACCAGAGAAGTTCACCCATTGAGTTAGCAGTGCGGCTCCTCACAGTCTGTGCCACTATCCAGCCTAATAGAGAATTCTAAAGCTTGTTAAGGAACGAGAAAAGAAGGCAAAGATTCTGAATTAGAAATTTTAAGGAAATAAGACCAAAAAAATGGTGACTTTGATTTGTTCTAATCAAATCCAAAAAATCACTCTAGATTCTGTCCTACTTACTCATATATATGCTACCTTTACCAAGATAGCAGAGTAAGAATATGACATTTAGACAGTGGAGACAAATATGTGAATTTTTAAACACAGGCTATACTGGGTTTTTGGAACTTATTCTTATCTACAGGGAACTCTGGGTCTATTCAGACACCAAAGGGGAAGATACCATGCTTGGTAAAGTATAGGTTCGGTGGAAAAAGTAGACACAATGAGATGAGTTTAACACAATAGCTGAATAGGTTTAATAAACACGACAAAGATTGTGAAGATGGCAAAGGATTGATCAGGGTTTTGTGGAGCTGACTCGACAGCACCTAACGACTACAACAAAGGCATTAGGAAAATAATTTCTAAGTATTGTTATTTGCCAAGTAGAATTTACCACTCCTAGATAACTTAGAATTGACCATACATTTTTAGTGCTAGTGTTTCTGGCTTCCAGTTTACAAATAATTTATTTAGTATAATCTTAAAACAAAACACATGTGTATCTACTAAGGAAACCAATATGGCTTTATGTGATGTATCATTGAATCTTTAGGTGTCTTAATAAGGAGACTGTTACCTTTTAATCTGTTTTTTTTGCTACCTTTGTTTGTTAGTAGGGGGTCTTAAGAAAAAGTTCTGAGTAAAGTTATTTTGAAATGTTTCTTTCCCTATGCATAGATTCGATGTTACAGAGTCCCAGATCATAATAATAATATGCCAGCTTCTCACAGGAACCCTGGGGCCTTGGTTCTGGAACTTTACGGTAACTGCTAGAATATTCATGGTGCCAATAAACAATGGCGTGAACTCTATAGACAGCACCTTTGTCATGCACAGAGTAATTAAAAAAATGAAAATAAAAAATTTTCCTGATGATATTTCACAGACAAACAAGTTATTAGAAAACAAATTTTTAAAATAATAGTGCAATAAAAATCCACCCTATTAAACAAGTTTGAAATTTAATATTTCTGAAGATTACTGCAAAAAGTCTTTCCCATTTACCTATTATTCCTAATACAATTTTTTGTTCTTTGTCATATTTTTAAGACAAATATTTTTTCCACAATAAGATAGAATGTTGTTGGTATTTATATTTTGAAAACAAAATGAAGCAAGCAGAGGTATCCTTAGGTAGTAAATTGAAAGGACTTTTTTTAAATGTAGCAAAAATTCTGCTTATTATCTTAATTTCTTTAGCTTGCTCTGTACACAGTCTCTTACTAGTTTTTCTGCTTGAATTTTCAATGATTGTGATTTGGAAAAATAAGGCTAGGCGCTATTTTCATTTCTATTTGTTACATTTTCTTCTATGCTGTCCCTTCAGAACTAAGTATCCTAGCTTTTCTTATCACTTTAATCATGCTATAAACATCATCTTTTTTCAGTTTTGAGGTTGGTTTTTTTGTTGTTGTTGTTGGTTTGGTTTTTATTTGAGTTGGTTTGTGTTTTTCCACTTAATATATTAGATCAAATGTAAGAAATGTATCTTTTTATTTTCATATTGTTGTTGTTGTTGTGTCCTTATGAACAAAAGGCCTGAAGCCCCTCTACAACTATCGACATTTATTTTCATATTAGAATTGTAATGTTGAGCTTAAGATTTTCAGAAGTTCATCATTTATTAGGAAATGAATAAATAATCTATTTGGAGAGTCCAGGTTCCTTAACACTTTAATATGAAATGGTGTATTTATAAGAATAATAGCTTAAGGGAGCCCTGGTGGCCTAGTGGCAAGAAGCTGCACTGAAATCCCGGGGGTATGCAGTTTGAATCTACCAGATGCTGTGCCAGAGAAGGAGGTGCAATCTCCTCCTGTACCAGTCAGATCTGATTTGATGGTACACACACACAAAATAATAAAATAAAATTTTTTAAAAAATAATAATAGCTTAAATTCAGTTTATTTTGCAGTGTAGGCAGTTTGGGAATGTACAGAAGAAACCTAATTGATAATTATAGCAATACAAGACTACATTAAGTTTCCTGGATTTGAGTCCTCTGCTGTCCCTCTCTCGTAAATAAAAACCTAGACTTTTAAAAGATGTTGATATTGCTTTATTGATGTGATAGAAATAGTAAACCTCTGGGTAGCATATTTGAAAAATATATTGCAACAGTGCAGAAGAGGAAGAGCCCGGATGAGATGGATTGATAAAGGAACTGGGGTGATGGGGGTTGATGTGTCAGAATTAATGAGACTGGCTCAGGACAGGGTAGCGTTCAGAGCGGCTGTGCGTAAGGTCACACTATACATTGCAGGCAATTAAATGGAGTGGCATCTACTTCCTAAACAGTATGCCTCCAGAAATTCTTATGAACTTTGATAAATGTTGATAATTATAGAGGGGCTTCAGGCCGTTTGTTCATAGGGTTGCTGTGAGTCGTGCTCGACTCGAAGGGAATCAACAACAAAAACATTGCAGACAGAGTTCATAGTTATAATGTTGACTTTGGAAACAAACAAATAGATTAATTTTTAAAAACTCATTTCAAAATAAACTTAGAATGAGACAAATACTAGAAAATATTGATGCATTTCAAGAACAAAACTAAATCCATTTTTCCATTGCTATACCCATATGTTTACATAGTTGTCATGATCCCTTCCACAGAGAAATAACATACACTATGCAAGATACCCTTCCCAATGCTTCTTTACTCTTGCTCTATGTTTTCTCCAAAAACCTGGAGTTTTATGCTTACTGCAGTTAACTAGACTTGTAATTTTTGATAACT